CAGGAAACCAAAGCCCTCTTTCCAACACTAGCTCCAAAGCCACTTGTTAAGTTTCCTCAACTCTCGCTGTCTCTCTGGAGTGGCTCGTGGCACCGGCAATATCTCAGAGAATACTACCGTGGTGGCTGATGAGCCTGGCCCAGCAGAATGGAAAGTAATTTCTTCCTCTGACTTGGATAGTTTTTACGATGGATGTCAGTCAGTTGGGCTGGGGAGGAGTTCTTGGGACAGATCCTGTCCAGGGGAGTTGGTCATTGAGGGAATCCAGGATTCATATCAATATTCTGGAGATAAGGACGATTCGACTATCCCTCCAGAGGTGGACAGACAGGCTTCAGGGATGACTGACAAGGATTCAGTAACAGAATGCCACAGCTTTGGCTTACATTAATCACCATAGCAGCACCAGAAGTTGTGCGGCTCCAAAGCGATTCTAGCCTGGCCCGAAAGGTACTTTCTGGCTTTGTCCTTGGCTACATTAATAGAATAAAAAATTGTCAGGCACACTTTTTCAGTTGCCAGGACCTGGATGCAGGAATGATCTCTTCACCCCAAGGTGTTTCAGGAAATCTGTCAATGGTGGGAAGCACAAGTCGAGGATCTCTGAGCATTCCATTTAAACAACAAGATAGATAGAATTATGGCCAGTTCAAACATTTCACCGGCACACACTCAGGGAATCGAATATCAAAATCCCAACGTATTTAATAAAGTGCAAAAATGTCACATAGGGGGTGATTTACTAACCTAAACACACACACACACCAGGTGTGTGTGATTTTCACACAGCAAAACGTATTTATCAACCAAAAAGTCTCTAAAAGCATATTTCCACTAATGCCATATATGGAAAAATCATGCACATGATGCATATATAATGCTGCTTCACAGTTTAGACAAAAATGGTTAGCTCATGCATTTACATTCCTGCATTCATCAACGCAAGCAACATAACATAGAGCTAATTTACACCACATTGCCTTGCAATTCATTGCAGGGCTTTGCACAACACACCTGCTGGGTGTGTACACACTACAAAGGTGTTTCGATTCCTCCCATAGATCATGCTGGGAGGGAACACACTACAGAGGTGTATACACGTTCGTGGTGTGTTTAAAAGGTTAGTAAATCAACCCCATAGTGTCATAAAGTCGTGATGTTTCGGGTCCACGCAGGGGTCCTTCCTCAGAGCGACATAGTGAAGCTCTGAGGAAGGACCCCTGCATGGACCCGAAACGTCAGCACTTTATGACGCTATGTGACATTTTCCATAGCAGAAGTTTGCGGGCCTAGCCTGGAGTCTGACTCTTTGGCACTGTGCTCTTCACTGTGGTGCTTTCCAAACCTTTGTGTCTTTTGTGTTAGGTTTTTGCTGGACCTAGGCATCTCTTCTATCCGCAGGGGGAGTGACTGCTCCAGTAAGGATGGGAACAGGGTGGAGGGACAGGAGAGACAGATTTTGGTGTTGGGGGATTCTATCATCATCAGCATAATCTGCCAACGGGACCGTGAGCGTCGAACAGTTTGTTGCTTACCGGGGGCTCGTGTTCGACACATTGCGGTGACATTAGTGGTCTTAGAGACCCCTAATGTCTCCATAAAGAGGACCTGTCAGTGTGCCTTTGCTATTATATAGGGGGATTTGTATCCCCCTATGTAATAGCAATGACATTAAGTGTAAAAAAAAAACATAAAAAGAGTAAATATTAAAGTCCCATATTAAAAAAGTTTTTTTAAAAACCCCAAATTCTTAAGTTCTCCACGTTTACGCACATATAAATGTAAATATGCGTCCGGTGCACCAGCGCGTGAAAACGACAATTGCGCTACACACGTTACATATCAGCGTGAACGTCGCAGTGAGAGCAATACTTTTAGGGCCATCAAGCACAGATGACACTAAACTGATGAGCGGTAAAAGTTTTAAAAGCGTCGCCTATGGCCAATTTTGGGTATTATAGTTCTTTGAGGTTTCGCGCGCTCACGCAATTTTAAGGCTTGACATGTTTGATGTCTTTTTACCCGATGTGACCCCGCCTTTTATATTTTACCAAAAAATTGGGTAGTAAAAAATGTTATATCATTTAATATAGGGTAAACAGTTTTTTTTTTAAATTCTGTAATTTTTCCTTAATATAGTACAAAATAAAAACCCCAGTGGTGATTAAATATCACCAAACTAAAGCTTTATCAGTCCCAAACAAATTGTATAAAATGTATTTCAGTACAGCGTTGCATGACGGAATAAATGTCAGTCAAAGTACCACAGCACTGAATACTGAAAAATGGCCTGGATGGGAATGGGGTTTAAACACCACGGACTTTAAGTGGTTAAGCTCCATGACCTGAGAAAATGCATCTGTCTTCTATTAGTCACCCTATCTTTTAGGTTGTAAGCCCTCATGGGCGGGCCCTCCTTACCATCTTGTCTTGAATTGTATTGTGATTGTAATGTCTTCTTTATATTGTAAAGCGCTGCACAAACTGTTGGTGCTATATAAATCCTGAATAATAATAATAATAATAAAAAGTGCATATACATTCACTACAGTGTAAATAGCATTGTTTATTTTGCAGATCAGAATGATGAATATCCCTTGTGGATCTTGTACTACCTTAATAGCTGTAAAAGCAACCGTGTTCTTAATAACAATGAGAACTCCTCTCTTTTTCTTAGAGGAAGAGGCCAGGTATACAAAAGGAAAGTAATATCTGAACAAGCAGCGAGTTTTCCCTCCAAAAGTGGTTGTCCTGTGCGCTAACAACATCACTCATAGTTTTCAGAGCTTCTGTCCATAATGCATACTATTGAGGCCCTTAACATTTATAGAAGTTATTGACAATATCATAGTGAAATCACAAAATAGGTGATATTTTCATCCTCATACTGCATATAAAAAGAAAAAATAATACCTGGTAAGTGGTGGGTCCTCTAATCCATGAGATAAGGGCAGGAGATGAAAGTCTGACAATAGATCTTACCACATTGCCACTGGTAGACTTCAAAGAGTTCAAGATAAGGCCCAACATTCTTGGAAGGGAGTACAGAGAAGGAACTGAGCGGCTACAGAGCGCACTTCTTGTTAAGACAGAGAATGAATACCCGGAAACTAAATAGATTGGGGCTTAGCCATTATCATCCTGGGTTCAGATGGGGAACAGCCAGATGATTTGACTTCGTCCTTTGCCGTGGGTCTCACCACCAACACACCCCATGTTTTAAGCAGTCTAAAGCCCTCTTCAGTAGTGAGAACTGTCAAAGGCTAACAACTTTTCATTATAATGAGTTTGATTGAGAAGCCCCATCGACATGCAATCCTGTGATGACAAAGTATTTTAGTAACAGTTGATAGCTTTTTCCTGGCTTGTATGTTAACCTGTGATAGATCAGCCAACACAATTTGTGGCCATTTATCAGCAATGAAAGATGGCTTTGGTAGCATACACAGTAAGCCCTGATGGAGAACTGCAGGTCCCCTCTGCTGATTGACAGCAGCAGTGGGCGGGTGCAATAGCTAGTTTGCTATTGGCTATTGCAAATTGAAATAGCCAATAGGAATCTAGCAATGCATTCCTATGGTGACATTTTTTTTTATTCTGACGACAGCCAACGGCTCGATGTCAGAATAAAAAATAAAAAAAACAGTGTTTCTCTCCTGGGCTGCCGGAAGCGGGAGACTCCCAGAGCGCCCGGGAGAGTTGGGCTGTCTGGAGATCAGTGTCCCTGGTTAGCTGGTAACCAGGGACGCTGATCTCCCTGCAAGTGGCCGGAGCCAGCCGTAAAATCACGGCTGGCTCCGCCATCGAGCCGATGCATATGCTTTCGGCTCGACTGACCTGCTCGGCTGATGTCGGGAGCTGTACGGGCTATAGTGAATAGCCCGTACAGCAGCCCTTCGGTTCTATTGAACCCGAAGGGGTCCTGGGGCCGAAGCTACCTGAAGGATCAGCCGAAGCTACGGCTAGATCCTTCGGCTGCTTCGTGAATAGACCCCCTTGCTTCTCGCAAACAAAAAATCTGATTTAAAATAAGTCAGTACTAAAATATTTCTCATAGCCACTGGTCAGATCCAAACAGTTTTGGATGTTTGAATGTTATGGGGGATGTAGCAAGTACAGAGAGTAAGTTACACAGTGCAGGCTTCAGGAAAGTGGTCTGCATGTGCTATTGATGCAGTAGATTATGGAAAACTCAGTAGATTAAATTTCTGATTTTAACACATGTAGCACATACAATGTGCTCTAATCCACTAGTCTAGTAGCTCACTCATTAATTTCAGTTACTGCCTTTAATTGCTCTTTAAAAGCATCTGAAGCTACAGTTTTGTTTTATTTTAAAGACACACACACACATACTGTGTATATATATATATATCATTGTCAGCTGAATGTAATTGTATAAGTACATGGGAGCAGTCATATTTAACTATCATACATGTACAATTAGCTTCCTTGAACACTACACAAGGTGCTATACTTCTCCTGTCTTGCAATGCATATCTACCAGTCAGGTCTGTCTTATTACAAGTATTGCACTCTTTCTGTGTCTGAGGATTTGTTTAAACTTTCAGTCAGGAAAACTCACTGAATTACTTAATAACAGGTAGCCTCCTGAGAAAGAATCTGGATTAATTAAATTTTGGTTGGACAAGGAGTATATTTATACATTTTCTCACACAAGATTCATGCAGATTCACCCAGGAATCACATATGTTACCAGTTAAATCCAATTAGAAAAATGAGTAAATCTTGGGTGAAAGTTGTGCAAATCATGTGTTTAAAACATTTATAAATAGACCAAAAGTGCAAAAAATATGAAAGTCACTTTAAAAATGATTACTACTGTATAATAATGACTCAAAATAACTGTTCATTGAAAATACATTTGAGTTTCTCATTTGACTGAGAATAAAACTATACTTTCAAGTAAAAATCTATTAACAGGCTTTTTTTTTCCTTAGAAGAAAGTATGCTAATTATTACTTTTTATTTATCAACAGTGTAATTTATTTCATTGTGATTAGAACCATATGGGCAAAGAGTAAATCACATTCGGGGGTGATCATTTCCAACTGTACTGGTAAGGAACTTTTCTTTTGTGTATTTTATCAAAAGTCATATTATTTCATGCTTGGAAAGGTTTGTTTCCTTTTTTTTTAACTTTGAGGCAAATGTATTATTAGTTGGAATGATAAAATGTACCTATTCAAGGCCAAATGTTTTAAAACGCTTCATACAATATAAATACACATTTCAATAGAAATACACTTTTTATTGTATCTTATTGATTATTATTAACAAGATAATTATATTTTTGTTAATTGTTTTTGTCAAAAATGTTGCCTCTTTGGGTGAGTTGTACTATAAAATGTAACTTTGATGATAGCTAATGCAGCTATTTTTTTTTAAGTGTAATTAAATTACACATTTTGTAATTGCCTCCCCATATTTAGGCATATTTAGGCACAATTTTTAATTAGAAAACATTGTTTTTTTAATTTAAAAGTAAAGTACAGCTTTTGAAATGTCTGGCAGATGGTATTTCCACATTATCAGTATTTTTTCCTCTGGCTTTGACAGACTGTGCTGAAAAATAATTTTAATAAGTTAAATGTTGTTTGATGAATTAGAATACTTTGGTTATGTCTGGCAGAGCTTGATAAATAAATCTCATTGTTTTTTTTGTTGTGGGCAGTATACATAATGAGTATTTAATGCAGAATTTTCCATACAAAGTCTGTAAGATGCACAAGTTCAATTTTGTTTTCATTAACTGTGCCAGTTGTCCAGCTTGGATGATTACATTGATTGATTAAAGTATTGACTGATAACAATGTAAGGCTACCCACAAGCACTAGACCGTGGTATATAATGAACACTCTGCACTCTCTGTTGTCATCCTCTTGATGACCAATCTTGAGTTGGTGGATTATTTAGCCCACACAGGTGGGGATATTTATAAGAGCAAATACTGTATGTATCAGCAGATGTGGCACTTAGTGGGCTCTCATGTGTGCGTTTCATGCGTAGATGCAGGCATACAATATGTGTAATAAATAAATAATTTGTTCAGTAGATAAATTACACAGGGTGTAGTTATGTAGATGGGAGGGTTTGGTTTAAAGTGCATATCCATAGGTATAAAAATACACTTATTGATAATATTCCAATGCAACCAAGAAAAATCAAATTTTAGACTATATAAAATAAGACATAACTGCACATTACAAATCATATTAACCTGCTATGGCATAGAACATACAACAATGCGTATTGTTAATGAAAAGTGCATAATGGATACATAGTACTTTCGATCACAGTATCAGGCTCCGCACTGAATACAGTTGTCTACTCTAAGCCAAGTTCCAGTAGAGGAATATCCAGAACACACCTGAGCACAGAGCCCAACAAATGACCATGTCAACAAAAGCCAACGGAAACATCCAGCCGGGAGGAAGCTTACACAGCCTAGGCTCCATCCACATAGTCAATGGTAATTGCCAAGAAATAGTTACATAGTTACATAGTATTTGAGGTTGAATAAAGACATTAGTCCATCAAGTCCAACCTATTAGGATGTCATTCTAGGAGTACCTGTACCCATGTATATTACGGTCCCTTAAGACATCGTCCAAAAGTTTCTTGAACAATTCCACATTATTTGCTGAAATCACCGCCTAAGAGCGGCATCTGTAAATGTTATACATTATACATGAGAGAATCTTTTAAGGAGGTAGTGACAATTACAAGCAAGCAAGATGTCCCCAAGCACTCTGGCTAGTACAGACAGGTGCAGGTTGCAAGCACAGTATCTTAAGCCTCCAAATCCCCCTCCCCCTTCCTCAAGCATCAAAGATGAAAACAAACAATTGCGTAAGGGATGAGATTACCCATAGCTATCCAGCACTTATGTAACTATGTAGACCCAATATCCTGTACTTACAGACAAAGAAAAAAAGGGGGTCCAGCAGTCCCTTGATCTTAATTCGCTTGGCTAGGGGTGAGAAAAGACCAGGTAAGAGAAATTGTTTTCCAATCTACAAAATAGTCTCTACTATGCAGCATCCATCCTCCCTTGGTCTTTATGTGTATCCACTGAGGATCATATAGATATGCTCGAACGTAGGGGTAAAATTATTAGGGCACCTCATGCAAACTGCTAAAAATGGTAACTGTGAATGGGGTGAGGAGAAGGTAGGCAAAAACTTTGCTTATCTGTCCTATGCAGCAAAATGTAGTCACTGTAGAAGAGTCTCCCCATGATACGGTTTGTCAGGCATCCTGTGAGAATCATGGGAGTCGAGAGCAGCTTTATTTATCTTGGCTTAAGGAGAAGGATCCTTTGATAGGTCTTTGTGAGCCCTGATTGGGCAAAGTCTTGCACCTGACCTGACTGAGAACAGTGAGAGCCATGATTGGGCAAAGTCATAATGACTCTGCCCAATCATGGCTCACCCTGTTAGAACTGTAAACAGTTGGGCGGAGCTAGTTGTCACTGCTAGATCTGCCCAAATGTTTATATGTTACCGGCATCTATCAAAATGCCATTATGCGGCGGGTGTTCGCCCCGAGTGAAAGGGACGGCGGTCATCGTTTTTTTAAATTTAATTCTATTGATTTTTTTATTGTTTTATTTTTTATTTAGTCGAGTCATCGTCGTTGTCGTGGACAGCGCTGGACATCGTGATTGACCCTGGATTACATCGGGGGATCAATTTTTTTTCTTCAATAAAAGACTTGTCAAAAACATGTCTTTTGTTTTTTTTCCAAATAAAGGATTTTTTCAAAAGTCTGGAATTGTATTTAACCCTTTAGTGAATGGGTAGGGGTACAAGTACCACTTACTAAATCACAAGGGTGGGCATCTGGGTGCCCCTTTATTAAAGAGGTACTCTGATGTGAATGAGCCCCCTGCCCACACCCCCACAACCAACGTCCCAGGGCTTGTAGGGAAGAGGCCCTTGTCCCCATTGGCACGGGAACAAGGTGATTTTCCAGGGGTGACCCTGGAAAAGCACCCTCCCAGTGCCGAGGGCATATGGCCTGGTATGGGAGGGAGGGGGGCGCTCCCTCACCCCCCCCTTTCCAGCCATGCCAGGCCTATGCTCAGATCAAGCATCTGGTATGGAATTTTAGGGGGATCCCACGTTCCCCCCCAATTTGTGTGGGTGGAGTTCCTCTTTAAAATTCCTACCAGACCTTAAGGACCTGGTATGACTTTAAGGGGGAACCACACACACTTTTTTTCATTTTTTTTACATGGGGTCCCTCCTCAATATTCCTACCAGACCTTAAAGGTCTAGTATGACTTTGAGGGGGAACCCCACACACTTTTTTTTTTTTACACGGGGTCCCTCCTAAATATTCCTACCAGACATTAAAGGTCTGGTATGACTTTTGTGGGGAACCGCACACTTTTTTTTTTGTATTTGGTCCCTCTTAACATTTCTACCAGACCTAAAGGGTCTGTTATTGTTTGGGAGGGGGAACTGAATGCTTTAAGAATACAAAAGATGTAATTTTGTTTCTTTAGAAATGTCAGTTTTGCTGCAGCAGGTTCTATACATCGTACACATTTTCCACTTTATAGGCAGTTTAAGGGGACCCCCAGGCACAATATTTAAATAAATGTTTCATTTTTATTGTTACCATTTAAGTTATGTTAAAACCACTGCTCCTTTAACAATGGTATTTTTGAAAAGTTTTTTTTCATTGATTCCTGTCCCCCAGGGCAGTACCTGGATCCCCATACACCTTTTATGGCCAAAAACTTGCACATAAGCCCTTTTAAATGGGACAATTGTTTTTGAAAGTACTACCCCCATAGACTTGCATTGATTTCCAGTTTGAATTCAAACTTTTTGGATGTTCTAAAGTTCAAATTCGAACCGAACTCGGGCCTGTTCAGCCCATCGCTACTCCCAACCCCCCTTCAAATTAACAAATAAAAAAATTCCACATTTACTTACTGGTGTGGCACTATTTCCAGGAGTCAGGACCAGTGATCTGCAGTCCAGGCCTGCCACTGACTGGTATTGTTGTCACACCTCATTCTGACATCATCATACCACCCCAAGCTTCCAAAAGTGCTTCTGCTGCAAAATTTGAGAATAAATATATATATACGCTGCTGTGCCCTCAGCTACAGAGGTCAGTCAGAGCTTGTTTTAAGCACAAACATATATACACACACACACATAGAAATACACACACAGAAATACGCACACACACAAACGTAGAAATACGCACTCACATAGAAATATGCAAAAACAGGAATACACACACACAAAGAAATACGCACAAACAGAAATACACCCACACACATAGAAATATGCACAAACAGAAATATGCAGAAACATATGCATATGTCGGCTCTACAGCAGGTATGGACTGCACCTAAATGGGGTGGGTGCAGCTCTGCTGGGGGAAAAGATGGTAAAAAGGTTGGAGGAACTTTTAAACTAGATTCCGGGGGTAGGGGGATCAAAGAATAATAAATCAGGCAACAAACTGAGATTGGACTTGATAACCAATATAGCTGAGGGGAATTAGAGGAAAGGGTGTTGACCACATCAGATCACAAGGAATCGGTAGAGCTAAAATATGAATGCATGCAGCAGTAGCCGGACTGTGGGTAGCAAGAAAATCATCAGCTCAATTGAAAACCTAAAATGCATGTTCACCAATGCTAGATGCCTGGCAAACAAATTGGAAGAATTTGAATTAATACTACTCAGAGAAGATTATGACCTAGTGGAAATATCAGAAACATGGCTAGATGGCTTGCGTGACTGGGCAGCAAATCAGGGGATATTCATTATTCAGAAGGGATAGTGAAGGCAGAAGAGGGGGAGGTGTATGTCTGTACGTCAGGAATGGCCTGACATTGAATGGGCGTGATGATATAGCACAGAGAGGGGATACGGCTGAACTGCTATGGATAGAAATTGATATGAATGAAAAAAAGAGAATTTACTGGTGGGAATATGCTACAGTCCTCCGAATGATGGGGAGGAGATGGAGACTTATTTATTGTCACAGATAGAAGTAGCGGGTAGGATAGGCAATAGCATAACATTG